GTTAGTGATGGTTTTAGGACGTTTACATCTATATTGGTGAAATCAGTCTTCAGATTTCACTTTTCAAGAAATCTGGATAGATTTTGGTGTCAGAATTACACCTACTAAACAGGAGGTCCTCTCAAGATTTTCTATATCTGGAAAATTTACTTCTTGATGCTTTTTACAGAATTCACCAGTGACATAGGCTTGGATCCTCTTTTGGAAACAATTTCTTTCAAAGTTTTTATTTGTGCTTTAAATACCTCTTTGACTCAATACAAATTTTCTCTTAAAGTTGCTCCATTTTAGTAAGACTTTCAAGTCATTGTAGAGAAGTAATACATAGATTTTTAATAATTTTAAAGCTTTTATCATACGCCATTTCCTGCTTTGCAAACATATTTTCTACATAAATGGATGATCAATTTTGTCAAATGAAAAGATCAATTGGTTGTGAGCTCTGAGAAGCTTTTACCTTACAGATTCCCAGCTGTTATTTGCTAGGCCTTGTGGGGTTCTACCCTGAACATTGGTGTTCAGTCAAACACTTAAGGTAACTTCCTATGAGAATTTATAGAGTTCTTCCTCTGTATAATGCCCCTCCTCTCTGAAGGTGTGTATCAAATAGTCTAAGTGCCTTCACCTCCCCAAACTCTCCTCAACACAGTAAGACTGCTGTGCTCTGTTAAGGATTCCCTTCTCTGAGTTATAGTCTAGAAAGTGCCAATAGGGAGAAAAATCAACGTGATTATAAGACTCACCTCAGTTGTTTCTCTTCTATCAGGGATCATACTCAGCCTACCTATTGCCAATGTGTCCAAGCAGTATTTTTTAAATATATATTTTTTTTGTTTCTGGTTGTTTATGGCAGGAACTTAACCTGATCTCAGTTATTCTTCATGCCCAATGTGGAAGTTTCTCATTTATTTGAGTTTTTGTTAATTCTAAGAATTCTTTTTTGACTCTGACTATTTAGAAGACTTTTTAAAAATTTATATATAAAATATAGGGTTGGTGTGTTTAAACTGCACATATTAATTTCAAATTTTATTATGCTGTGGTTAAAGGCATTTCTGTTTTTTGAATTTGTTGACTTTTTCCCCAGAGATTTATATACTAAGTTCTTATAAAGCATGGATAGAAACAAAGAGATTTTCTCTGGAGAGCATAAGTTTTAATAAATATATATTAATTATATTTTAAAATTATATTCGTTGTACTTTTGGGGAAAAAATGGCTGCCATCCTGACACTCTGATTTCCCCAGCAGTTGTTTCTAAATGCCCCATAATTTTTTTTAATGTTTTAATATTTCTTGTCGGTAAATAGTAGGCATATATACTTAAGGCGTACATGAGAGATTTTGGTACAGGCACACAATACATAATAATTACATTATGGAAAATTTGGCATCCATCCCCTCAAGCATTTATCCTTTTTCTTACAAATGATTTAATTATACTCTTTAATTATTTAAAAATGTAAAAGTAAATTATTATTTTCTATAGTCCTTCTGTTGTGCTATCAAATACTAGGAATTATTCATTCTTTCTAATTTTTTTCTTACCCATTAATCATCCCTAACTCCCTCTCATCTACCCAGTGAGCTTCTCAGACTCTGGTAGTTACTCTTCTGTGCTCTATCTCCATGAGTTCGATTGTTTTAACTTTCAGTTCCCACAAATAAGTGAGAACATGCAATGTTTGTCTTTCTGTGCCTGACTTATTTTATGCAACATAATGATCTCCAGTTCCATCCATGTCATTGCAAATGACAGAATCTCATTCTTTGTTATGGTTTAATAGTTCTTTATTGTTTATAGGTACCACATTTTCTTTTTCCATTCATCTGTTGATGGACACTTACGTGGCTATTATGAACAGTCCTGCAATAAACATGGGAGTACAAATTGCTCTTTGACATACTGATTTCCTTTCTTTTGTGTATATGCCCAGCAGTGGGATTGCTGAATCTTATGGTAGCTCTATTTTTAGTTTTGTGAGAAACTTTTAGGCTGTTTGCCATCGTGGTTGTAGTAGTATACATTCCCATCAAAAGTGTAAGGGGGTTCTCCCTGCTCCATGCCCTCATCAGCATTTGTTATTGCTTGAATTTCGGAGAAATATTTTGCCTATTTTTAATCAGATTATTAGGTTTTATTCCTATAGAGTTGTTTTGAGCTATTCTGGTTATTAATCCCTTGTCAGATGGGTAGTTCGCAAATATTTTCTCCCATTCTGTGGGTTGTCTTGCCACTTTGTTGATTGCATTCTTTGTTGTACAGATGCTGTTTAACTTGACGTGATCCCATTTGCCCGTTTTTGCTTTGCGTGCAGTCCTTATGGGGTATTTCTCAATAAATTATTGCTTAGACCAATGTCCTGGAGTGTTTCCCCAATATTTTCTTGTAGTAGTTTCATAGTTTGAGGTTTTAGATTTAAGTACTTAATCCATTTGTATTTGATTTTTGTATAAGGCTAGAGACAGGGGTCAAGTTTTATTCTCCTGCATATGGATATCCAGTTTTTCCAGCACCATTTATTTTAAAGACTGGTTTTTTCCCCAGTGTATATTCTTGGTACCTTTGTAGAAAATGACTGTAGATGTGTGGATTTATTTCTGGGTTCTCTATTCCGTTCCATTGGTCTATGTGTCTGTTTTTATGCCAGTATCATGCTGTCTTGGTTACTGTAGCTCTATAGTATAATTTAAAGTAAGGTAATGTTATTTCTCCAGTTTTGTTCTTTTTGCTCAGAATAGCTTTGGCTATTCTGGGTGTTTTGTGGTGTAAGAATTGTTTTTGCTATTTCTGTGAATAATGTCATTGGTATTTTGATAGGGATTTTACTGAATCTGTAGATTGCTTTGGGGAGTACAGACATTTTAACAATATTTAACAATATTGATTTTTCCAATCTATGAACATAGAATATCTTTCCATTTTTTGTGTCCTCTTCAATTTCTTTCATCAGCGTTCTCTAGTTTTGATTGCAGAGATCGTTCACTTCTTTGGTTAATTACTCAGTATTTAATTTTATTTGTTGCTGTTGTAAATGGGATTACTTTTTAAAATTTTTTTCATTATTGACATATAGAAATGCTACTGATTTTTTATGTTGATTTTGTATCCTACAACTTTACTGAATTTATCAGTTCTAATAGTTTTTTGGTGGAGTCTTCAGGTTTTTCCAAATATTAGATTATTATCATCTGCAAACAAGGTTAATTTGACTTCTTCCTTTCCAATTTGAATGTCCTTTATTTCTTTCTCTTTTCTGATTCCTCTAGCTGAGACTCCCAGTACTATGTTGAAAAACAGTGGTGAAAGTGGGCATCCTTGTCATGTTCCAGATCTTAGAGGAAGGGCTTTCAGCTTTTCCCCATTTACTGTGGATTTGTCATATATCGTTTTTATTATGTTGCTGTATGTTTCCTCTATATTCAGTTTTTGAGGGTTTTTATCCTGAAAGGATGGTTGAATTTTATCAAATACTTTTTCGGCGTCAATTGATATGATCATATGGTTTTTATCCTTCATTCTGATGATATGATATATACATATTGATTGATTCATGTATGTTGAACCATCCTTGCATCCCTGGGATAAATCCCTCTTGGTCATGATGGATAATCTTTTTTACGTTTCATCTCAAATGTCCATTCTTCAAAGAACTCTATTGAGAGTAGAATTTGACCCACTGAAAATTACATAACTTTTCTCTGAAACATAACTCATTTTTTCCGAAGAACTCATCTACATCTATAATTATTATGTTTGCTCATTGAATTACTTCTGTATTGCCTATCATCTTTTTCACCCCCTAAAAGTAAAGAGATACGTTGTCTATCATATTCACCATAATATTCCAACACTCAGGACAGTGCCTGGCACATGATGTCCATGATAAGCATATGCTGAACAAATGAATTAACTAATACATCACATTCCCCATACAGCGTACTATCTTGGTTGATTGTATGAGTTCATTCTTAAAAATCATAAACTTTTTCATTGTGTTTATCTTAAAACATGTGGAGGAAATTAAAGACACCTAGTTACAGCTTACAAAGAAAATACCAACTCAAAAGAAACAAAGTTATAAAATACTGCACATAAACTGGTCATGCTGAAAAAAACAAGATATTTTAATAAGATTATAAACATTATCTCTTCATCTAGACATTGTAAGTCTTATTTTTGGATCAACATTTGCCCAATACTGAGACCATATTAGCTTAGTCCTTTGTTGAATCTTCTTCATTGAATTACACTTTAAGACAATATTGGCTTCCAATAAGCCCTTCACAGGAAACAATCAAGAAAAATTCTCCCACAGTTATTATAAAATTGTTGTCATAATTTCCATCATGTTGCTCATTTTTTTTTAAATTAGCTGTGGTTTTCTTCTGATATAACTATGCTTTACACCATGATGATGATTTCCTTTTGGGCTTGGATTCAGGAAACTAAAGGTAAAAATTGTTGTTCAATTACAGCAATGGTATTAGCTTTAAATTGAAAATATTTTTTACTTTTCACTTTCATATATGTTGTTTCACATTTTATTAATGTGATTATCTGTGCATGTATTTACTAATCTAAATATAAGTAATTTCATCTGATTTCAAATTACTTTTTTTTTTGAGACAGAGTTTCAGTCTTGTCACCCAGGCTAGAGTGCAATGGTGCAATCTCAGCTCACTGCAACCTCCACCTCTTGAGTTCAAGTGATTCTCCTGCCTCAGCCTCCCAAGTAGGTGGGATTACAGGTGCCTGCCACCATGCTCAGCTAATTTTTTTGTATTGTTAGTAGTGATGGGGTTTCACCATCTTGACCAGGCTGGTCTTGAACACCAGACCTCATGATCCACCCAACTCAGCCTTCCAAAGTGCCGGATTTACAGACGTAAGTCACTGTGCCTGGCCCTCAAATTACTTTTAAAGAGTCAAGGTATAAATGTATACATCTAATTGTGATTATGAATACATAAATAGATCTTAATAAAGAGCATATTTGTCATGGAGATAAAGGTATTTTTCTTCTTAAAAGTTTCATCAGGGCATTTTTCACTTCCTTGTTCCTCAGACTATATATCAGAGGATTCAACATGGGAATCACAGTGGTATAAAATACTGAGGATACTTTCTCCTGGGTGAGTGAACTGCTAAAAGCGGGTTTGAGATACATGGACATCAGAGACCCATAAAATATAAGAACAGCTGTCAGGTGGGAGCTACAGGTACTAAAGGCTTTGCATCTGCCCTTTTTAGAGTGGATGCGCAGGATGCTGGTGAGGATAAAAGCATATGAAATGATGATTGTTAGGCTTGTGGCCACCATGTTAAATCCACCAATGACAAAAATCAAAAGCTCATCAATATAAGTGCTAGAGCAGGAGAGTTTAATAAGAGGGACAATGTCACAGAAATAATGTTTAATGATGTTTGATCCACAGAAAGACAATCTGAGTATACAACCTCCATGGATCACAGCATCAGCGAAACCTACTGAGAAGACAGCAGCCACCAGCAGAGAACAGACACTAGGGGACATGATGACCTTGTAGAGCAGTGGGCTGCAGATGGCCACGTAGCGATCATAGGCCATGGCTGCCAGCATGTAGCATTCAGAAATAACACAAACACAGAAAAAAAACAGCTGAGTCATGCATCCAGAATAGGAGATGGATCTGTCTCTGCATAAAAACCCTGATAGCATTTTAGGGGTAATGACAGAAGAATAGCAGACATCTAAAAAAGACAAACTACTCAGGAAATAGTACATGGGGATATGAAGTTGATGATTCAGCCTAATTATTGAGATCATGCCGAGGTTTCCCACCACAGTAACTGTATAAATTCCTAAGAAGAGGCCGAAGAGGGGCAGCTGAAGCTCTGGTTGTTCAGTTAATCCTGATAGCAAAAACCCAGACACTGTGGAACGGTTTTTTATACCCATTCTTCTCTGAGAAATCTGTGGAGATGAGAGAGAAAAAGTCAGATTAGACAGGTAGAACCCAGCTTGCCTCTAATATACCTCATAGCACAGATATTTCTATCTATGAAAACACTGACTTTGTGTTATGAAGACCAAAAAGTGAGCACTCAGATGAAATAGAGTCAGTAAACATCTACCTACCCATAGATTTTAGGAACCACAAACACACTTTTCCATACCCTCCAGTGGAACAAATTCTCTTAGCAAAGGACAGAACCTTTAACTCCAGAGTTAGAGACAAGACTAATGCTTAAAACCAGGGCATTTCTGTTGTGGAGAAACGTCAGCCGCTGGCGCAGGGGTAAAATAATTTAGCAAGACAGTTGTGGGTAAAGGAAGACAGACTTATTAGAGAAAGTAGGAAAACACGTTGCCAGGGAGACAATGAGCTAGTCAGCAGAAGCTGACTGCAAAGAAACAAAGGCTTGCTGAAAATTTTATAGGGTGGTGTTTATGCTGTTTGTTGAGGAGGGCTTTGTGCAGTACTGATAACGCCAAGGTTGCAGGGAGCTGATTTGCAGGTGTCTGGTGATAGTTGGGTGCAAGAAGACTGAGTTATTTGTGCAGGAGAGCTGTGTGTCCTGGGCCATGAAGAAAAGCAGACTTGTAGCTCCTCTGTTTTCTCTTTTTTGCTTTTGCCTGCTCCCACCAGCCTGACTCCCTTTCCCTAATTAGGACTCCACAGTTTCTTAAAGTAAATTAGTTAAGTAGATGCATAAACAAGAGGCTGAGGACTATGAAAATACTTTTGCTAATGACACATTTGCCAATGGCTGACTCTTCCTCCAGGATTTCCTATAAAGAAGGTATCTACTATTAAGGTGAATTATAATTTTCTACATCAAGGTTTCCAAGGGTGTTCCGCAAAAGAATCATTCAGGGAGATGTTAAAAGGTGTTACTTTAAACAAGTGTCCAAGGATCATATAATTTCAGACATCCTGAATTAAATAGTTAAACTGGTTTTGTAACTGGAGGATGTCTCAGTCCTCCTGGAGGACTCTATAAATACAATATTTATCAAACTTACTTGATGATAGGCCAACTGCACGCTTTTTAAAAACATTTTATAGCACGAGCATGGCTCAGAATGTATTTTAGAAAACTGTATTTTCATTTATGTGTTTGCTCTATTTTTAATCTAATCATACATTGATTTCCAGGTGGGAAGTTTATTCTTACACTTGAGTAAAAACCTGGATGATGGTAGAATGGCAGACTTCCCAAACCTGTTTCTACCTTCTGGATCTCTGGCCATCCTCTGGGCTAAGGCTACGTCTGTCGCCAAGGCCATGGAGTCCAATATAACACACTAGTGCTGCCACTACTGGCAATGCAAACAACCCAGATGTTTGCGTTGCACTTGGAGGCTCCCACATAGCACACATTGTGGAATCATCTATTCTGGGGTCAATCATGGCCTTTTCTCTGAAAAAGCCGACCCTTTATTTAGTGTTGGGCTTCTCACAGAGCCATCTCCAGACTCTCATATTTGCCCCAAGATTACATCGAATCTGGCTCAAATGTCTAGGGTTGCATTTTGTCATTCTGCCCAGCTACCTGGCTATGTAATAGGCTGTTCATGTCTTCTTGTTTCCAATATATTACTGCTGTAACAGGACAAGCCACACTTCCTTAGGCAGCTTGAGTTCCCAGGATGTAGGTGACTCCTTATTTCCCAAATCCTTCTCACAGTTTAAAACAAATGAGCTGCATGGTCACGGAACAGCTATTCTCTGAGCAGGCTTCCCCATTCTACCGAACCTGTGCCTTTTGTATCTGCTCTTTCTTGTCCTAAATGACAGAGATGGAGGGTCGTGTGCAAAAGTGAGTGTCCAATTGCCCTTTGCCTGTTACAGAAATACCCTGGAGTCTTCGTTTCCCATTACTCCTTCCCAATAAGCATCCAGGAGTGTAGTCTAGTCACAGAGCCTTATCAAAGTAATGTTCAAAAAACCTATATGCTCAGTTTTTTGTCTTTAATAGCATGGGTTTTTTTAAGCATGTTTTTAAATCTGTCCTGAGTGTTACAAACACACTGACCACTCTTAACTCATATGTAATTCTCCTGCGTGCCCCGTAATTCCTGCTGGGCTCCCTCTCCAAGTAAAATGTCTTATTCTGCCCATGTTCCTTGTTTTATTCTAGTATTCTGCACTCTTCTTCCATCTTCTCAAGCCTGTTAGGTTTCTTTTTCCTATGTTCTCACTTTCTAAAACATTTCTGTGCTTTAGGTTCTTGCTACGCAGTGTGGTCTATGAACCAGTAGTGGCAGCATCACTCAGAGATCTTTTGAGAAATGCACAGTCTCAGGCCCTACCTCACACCTGCTGAGTAAGGATCTACATTTTAGTGGGATTCTCACATGATTTGTGAGCACATTAACATTTGAGAGGCACTATTTTCGGTTATTTTCTCTTAGAGCTGAAGTCATCCTTCTTCTTTCTTGTTTCGTTCTCTAAACTTTTCTCTCTGATTCATTTTGTGCCAGAAAGCATTAGCTGATTATGTAAAACCCATCTTTGAAGATATCTTCTCAAAGAAAGTTTTCTGAGATGAAGAATAGAAACTGTACAATTTTACATTTCAGTATTTTGCCACCTATTTGAAAACTCAGAGATTCCATGGCAGTGTAATGTGCATGTCAAATAGCTTATTGCAACAAATTGTATTGTTTTTGTGTTTGTAGAAAAAAATATTATACACATTCCATCTTAGTCCACACAAAATAAGCAATGATAACTGGCATCTGCTTTATTTAACCAACCGATAAACAGTAAACTCGACTAGCTTAGGGATACAAATTTATGAGGTTGTATTTCTGACCAAAATAATCTACTACATTGATTCAGACCTCATTCAGGACCCCGATAGTTTTTAGCAATTTAAAAGCATAAGAAAAGTGTTTTTAAACATTTCAATGCATCTCACAGTATTATTAAAACTATAACTATTGAAAGTGTTTCACAAAGGTAAATGCTAGATCAGCATTGCCCAATAGACATATAATGCAGACACATGGGCAATTTAAAATATCCTAGAAGTTCATTTTGTAAAAAGTCAAAATAAAAAGAAAAAATACATTTTAGTAGTATGTTTTATTTAACTCAGTTCAGTCATACCTTGATATCCAAGGGATATTGGTTTCAGGACCCCCTCAGATACCAAAATCCCTGCATGCTCAAGACCCTGATTTGAAATGGTGTAATATTTTTATATAATCTAAGAACATCCTTTTGTATAGTTTAAATCATCTCTAGATTACTTAGAATACCTAATACAATGTAAACGCTATGTTAATATTTCTTTTAGTATATTTTTTGGGGAAAAATTGCAAGAAAAATGTCTGTACATATTCGGTATAGATATACTCACCCATTAAAAAAAAATCTTCCATCTGCAGTTGGTTGAATCCACAGATGTGGAACCCACAGACACACAGGCCAGCTGTACATGCAAAATGTTATCATTTCAACATGTAATTCATATTTTAAAAATAATGAGATATTTTATGTTCTTTTATTATACAAATCTTTGAAATTCATAGTATATTTTATACCTGGCCAGATTTCAAATGCTCAGTAGCCACCTATGGCTAGCGGCTATATTACTGGACAACAAAAGTCTAGAATGTGATTTTTTCCCTAAATCTTTCAAATCTGAATTGTCCCCTTTTACAGAAAGAAACCATTAGTACAGAGGTAACAGAAAGACCACTGAATCCCGAGTTAAAAGATGTAGTATCTTTTTCATTTCTAAGACAGTGCAACTTTTAACTCATAAAGTCTCTCTGAACTTCATATTTTAGTCTGTAAAAAATAATAAATACTTCAAAGGATTGTTATGCAAATTAAATGAGACAATAACTGTGAATGTACTTTATATATTATAAGGTCCATATAAATATAATTGTAAATATATTTTTAAAGCAGGTGTTTCACAGATTAGTTCCTATATTAGACACAAGATACTTAGATAAGGTGAGTGGACAATGCATAAATGAGTCTGAGATGGATGCCCATGGCCTCTTCCTTGTACTTCTGTGACTCAGTGGCCTCAAACATGCAGAAGCTCTAGAACCCATGGGGACAATCGGGAATTGATTTTAGAACACATTTTAATATCCTTATAATATGAACACATAATTCTGAAACTCACCTTTTTCCTTCTGAAGACTGTGGGTTAGTATCTCTTCTTTCTCCTAAACTCATCACTTCAGGAGTAGAGATGGATTGATTATATCTTCTTCTTTAAGGGTCTGAGCAACAACAGCTAACAAGAAGCTATGACTTTTATTCTCAGTTCAGATATTTTGTGTCAAGAAATATAAAGACCAGTAGTCCCAAGGGTTTCTTGTCTCCTGAGGTACAGCAGCCTATGTATTTGTAAGAACTATCCATGAGCTGGCCTATCATTTTGGGAATCTAACATGGATGAGTCATGCGAATGCCCCTTGCCGTTCAGTGGGGAAAGACACATGGTCTAACACATGGCTTGCATTTTAAAATGTTGAACAAATGAGGCATCATAGACAGTGCTTGGTATAATAAGCAGTAGGTAGACTTTGAGGTCAGAGATGGAACGGATCACTACTATTTACAGCAATAAGGACAATCTTCATGGAAAGGTAGATTGTAAAATATGCCTTCAAAGGTGGGGAGGATCCATTTAAGCTGAGAGGATATGAAAGAATATCCAAGATGTAAATAAAGGTATAAGCAAAGGAACTGAGAAGTAGAAAACATAAGGAATATGTGAAGAACATTGGGGAAAACTGAAGTGTTTCTTGGATGAAAGCAGTGGATTCAGTGTTTCTAGTGTCTGCTAATGATGGAAGCAGAGTCAGGGGAATGACTCTGAGTCCAGCCCTCCAGTCAGTTCTAATGGTTTTCCAGGCCATCTGGAAGAATGTGCCTGGTGATCCCTGGATGAGCTTTTTGTGACTTTGTTAAAATAACACATGCACTTAAACCCTCCAAATTGTCAGGAGCAAATAGCTATATCCAGATCCGGCTTTGGGAAAAACTGTAACACCACTTCAGATTATCTCATAGTCAACAGTGTCTACCATGTCAAAGACACTAAATTTCTGGGGAAATTTACCACTCAATGAGGTAAACATTTAGCTCCACTTCACTGGTGAGACTACCAGAGCCCAGAGTGACCATTATATTTGCTCAAGGCAGCACAGCTAATAAACGGCAGACCCAAGAAGCAAATCTAGGAGTCCTTCACCCAAGAGTCCATGCCTTGCTGCCCCAAGAGAAAAGCAAACAGGAAGTTGGCTACTTATATTGGAGATGGATAAAGAGGAGTTTTATTGTCCTTCTAGGTGACTTTGCACACACTATGAAATTTGAAAAGGAAACACAGATTTGGGGCAAAGGCTCCATCCGAGAACAAAGCTAGCACACCTTGCTAGCGAAATATCTCCAAATCTTTCTATCATTCTTATCTCCAAAAATAATGCATAAAACTCAAAAGTTTGCATACATATATGAATGATTCTTGGAGAGAAGCCCCAGAAGCCAAAAGATCCCTAGATTTAGAATTCCCGAGCTTGTGGATTCCTTCCTCAAAGAACCTGACCACTGTATAAAGGGTCTAAAAATATAAGGAACATCTCCAAAAACGAACTACCACAACATGT